TCTCTCACTACAAAAGCCCATAAAACGTTTTCTTCTGCCAGCTTTGAAATTGGTTGTTCTCCAGGTGATGGGTTATTGGACTTCCCTTAGCCTGTTCAGCAGACATTAGCTACGAAAACTAAAAGAGAAGTACTGAAGCCATGTTGGTAATGTTAACAGTACTGTTCCCAAGGTAAGAGGAAGACAAGAGATGTTTAGAAATACTAACTAGCAAATGTTTAGTTATTCACATGTAACTAAAGTCATTTTACACCTGTACTGATGTACTGGGTCTGGCTGGGATGGAGTTTTCTTCACAGCAGCCTGTATGGTGCTCTGCATCGGTGCCTGACACCACCAGCCGGGGCTGCTTTAGCGCTTGCGCAGTACCGAGGCTGTGCCTTTTCCCGCTCTGCCCCGCCAGCCAGGAGGCCGGGCCATGCCCAAGAAGCCGGGAAGGGACACAGTGGGGCCAGGTGACCAAAGGGATATCCCACACCACCGGACACGGCGCTCAGCAATAAAAGGTGCGAGAAAGGATGTTGGGTTACGGCGCTCGTTTTCCCAAGGCACCGTCACACGTGACGCAGCTTTGCCCTCCCGCCTGCCGCTGGGACGTACCCACCGCCCTCGGTTTGCTCCGCTCGCACCCACTGCTTCCGTTTCACCTCTTGAACTCTCTTTACCTCAACCCACCGGTTGTTCTTGCTTTTGCCCTTCCCATTGTGTCCCCCGTCCTGCACAGGGGAGCAGCTGGCTGGGGGCTCAGCCCACCACAAAAGGTGACACACATGACAGCCACCTCCCCAAATCCACCCAGAGGCGTTATTGGTGGGCACAGGAGGGGAAAAGGGTCTTGCTTCTACACACTACGGCTATTCCACACCACGGCTATTCCACACCATCATACTTTGTCCCAAACTCCATAAACCTCAACTAGTGTTTACACCCCGAGCAACACCCGTGCAAACCCCCGTGCGCTCCTGCAGGCACCATTCCTAAGCAACAACAGTGTAAAGTTTCAGGCTTTGACAGAAGTGAGGAAATGGGGGACAGTGCAGCGTTTTCAAGGATTTCTTTATTATCCAAGCTGACTATCATCTAAAAACACCAACAGATTAAAGACCAAGATGTAAACTTCAGCTCACAAGAACGCATCTTTTCAACCACTGATACAAAGACCTGGTCTATGCTGCAGAGGCATATTTAAAAAAACTGCTCAGTATAAAAAAACAACCCCTAACGTTTCCAAGGATCAAATAAATAATTTACAGTGATATGCAAAAAAAAATAAAAGGTATGGAAATCCAACAGAGCTTGGAGACAGAGTGTTGTTTAGAATTTGCAGCCCTGTACCGTAAATTTAGACGTTTCCCATCATACATAAGACGGGTATGACAACACCACAGTCAAAAATCACATTTTACTGCTGGGTTGTTCGGAAGCACTGCTGCTGTCTAAAGCCTTGGAGGAGCAGTCTCTGAGGACTTCCAAAGAACTTGTGATGTCCAGGCTTTCAGAAGAAGCGGGCCTACACCCTTCTGTAGAGCTGATGATGTCCAAAGTTTTGGAAGAACGGGCGCTGTAGCCTTTCGCACTGGCATCTCGTACGACCACCTCCTGCAGGGACGTAAACGTCAGCGGAACAAAGCCCTCGCTGTCCGCTGTGAGAACAATCCAAGATGAACCTGTGGAGACACGTGAATGTCTGGTTATAAGCCTTCCTGTAATTAGGTATGTTTAAGGTGCAAGACATTTTTCTCCTAAAATTGAAGTTAAATGCTTCCGTATGTTTACAGTTTTTCTAGCAAAAAAAAAAAAGTATGGGGAGATACAGGTTGCATAATCTCAAAAATGAAGGACAATTTATAACTACGTGAAACAGCTTTCTGACCAACCTTGCCCCTAGGAGACAAGACTATAATAAATGCTTGCTTCAAATGAGGAGGAGGAATGAAATTCTGAACAGAACTCATAAGCACCCAGATCTGTTTTTAATGAGGTATTCATAAGCTACTTCACAGCACTTAAGCTGTGCAGACACTGTAAAAAGCAGAAATTCATTAAGTGAAATGACAAATTAATATCACAAAAACAATTTAGAAACTGCCTCTATTATGTAATTTCAATGTAATTCATCCCAAGAAATACAAGGAAGAAATACTGTACTATACTGTACAAACCTCGTGTCTCTCGTCCATTCGCCATCTGACTTCACATCACCATTAGCATTATTTTTACCATTTGAAATCGTTTACTGAATGCGAAACGCTGCCTTCTACCAACCCACATAAACCAGAAAACTTTCACACTCGTACCCGTTAAGCCAGTGAAGAAATAAAATGGAGCCGGTGGGGGCTGAGGGAATTCAGAGAAACATTTCCAGCTGTTTGTAAATTTACATTATGTAACTCCATGTCACAAGTAAGGTCACGAGAAGATTGTAGCTTAAAAGCACGCAACCCTTTAATCTTTTGGCTTAGTATCTCATTTGGACCAAACTTCAAAATCAATACGATTCAGGACTTTGAAAATACCATTCCTACTGTGCTCATTTGTCTAGTAATATTTGTAGAATTAATAAAGAAATTTGCTTTTAAAATGTAACAAGAAAGGCTAGTCACAGGCATGATGATTACTCATTCCTGGGCAACCAACTCTGTTAAATCGACATTTTTAAGCTAAAAATGAGAAGTTGAACTAACAGAGGTAACGGGGACATTTTTCTTGCCAGGAAGAAGTTGTTCAAGTCTTATTGCTCGAAATAAAATTCCAGTCTGAAAAATTAAGAGATTGGTGTCTGCAAAACCGCTGACTGTCGTCACCGGGTATATCGCACGTTTCTGGGTTGTGCCGTGACATCACTAAAACAGTCGCTGTGCTCCGATGCAGGGAACCGACCCGGCAGCGGGGGCACTGCCAAACTCGTGTAAGAGCGGTAGAACCCCGCCAAGATTCACGCGCTAGTGACCCACCCGACTAGAGGTTTCTCCCGGTACTGGAACACCACACACCTTCCAGCAACTACCGAAAGCAAAAGAAAACTGGCGCAACGGTAAGAACAGCAGCCCTGAGGCTTTGGGAGAGTGGCTCAGCAACCTGCCAGCAGGCAGGGCAGGCAAGTAGCTGGATTGTAGCACAGACGGTACCTGTAGCAGGGAGGATCAGACCTCAAAAGCACCCCAGCCAAAGGTAACTCACTTAGAACCGACACAGAGGATGCGCGTGGGACGGACGACAGCAGAGGCAACCACAGCAGTAAGAAATGCAGTTTTGTTCACAGGGAAAACCGAAGCGAAACGCACTGCTAAAATGGAGAGATCCTTTCCTTAGAGCGGACCAGACGCTGGGACTACAGATTAAAGTACAGAAAACTGCATTCCAAAACCACCACTCAACTCTAACCTCCTCATTGCTCAGGCTTCTCCATTTAGAATAGCTGAAAACATACATAAAATACTGGGGGACAGCCACTTTCCTCTGTAACCTGCTACTTGATAAGGGGGCATCAACACGTGAAAGTTTGCTCAATTATTTTTTTCAATAATGTAAAGGTTCCTCTCAGTAAAAGCCCAGAGAAGAATCTTTATGTTACAAAACGAATGAGTGTTAATATGAATAATAACACCAATAATAATACAAATTTATTAATAATCTTTCATTACTTCTTCCTTGTTTTCTCTCCAGATGGGATTAGGCACATTGCTGCTGCTCACAGGGAGCGCCGCACGTGTTCAGAGTGGCGGTGTTACCGCGTCATCCCAACGTACCGTGCTGCATCTCTACAAGAGAGAGACTGAATAGCTGCTGGACTATATTGAGACGGAGTTTACCACCACAGAGAATAACAGCTCGTCTTTCATCTGCATCGCTCCTGGAAAGCTGCTTCTGTAAATTCAAAAAAGAATCATTAGATACTGTGATGTATATTTAAGCAGAGATGTCAAAATGCCGTTAATCAACACAGGATCACAGACGAGCCTTCAACTACATCATTTACAGAACGTCAAACTCATTCAGACCCATTTGCAAGATTTATACTTTAAAGTCTCAGCTCTCAAAGGGATGATCTGCGAGCAATAGCAGCAAGCAACTGTGCTAATTCAGCACGTGCCAGAACAACAGCAGAGGAAATCGTGCGCTGCTGCTGCTGCTGAAGAATTCCTGAGCTTCACCCACGCCTGCCTCTCACCCTAGCGCCTCCGAGGGACGTTTTCCAGGGGAGTCTGTAAAGCTGCAGGTTTTCCATCCTCCCCCCTCCCTGATCCACAACTTCAGAAGGGGTGAGAACTCCCACCCATGAGCCTTTGGGATGAGGAACGGACTGACAGATCAGAAGGGCTTGTTTGTCTCAATCAGAAGGGCTTGTTTGCCTCACCTCTCACCATCAATGCCCTTAAAATCCACAAAGTGCCTTCAAAGAATAACCCCTACGGGGCAAAGCAAAGTATTTTTAAAATCTGCAAAAGATCAGTTGTTACCAAAACTACAAACTCTGCCTGTGCGTAGGACAGAATTCACACAACCAAGTCACTCCCCAGGGAAGCCTCGATACCACCGCTGGGTCATGACAAAACCGCGATCAAGTAAATTCTGGCTCCTCTTCCCTGCTGCGGACGGACCCATCCATCCGGTGTATGGCCGAGGGGAGGCTGGAGACGCACACGTGCTCTCTGCTCCCTGCACTGATACACTCTGCCCTCTTGAAGACACCGCTTATTTGGGACATTTTGGGTTTCCTCAACGTTCTGTAAGACACAGCTCGTAACTCGGGCAGTAGGGAGACGACCCGGGCTCAGCACAGGAGGCGAGGACGCCTGTTTGCCTGTTAAGCATTTGTGAATCAAATCCATGCTGACTAAAGCTAAACCCCAGCATCTGCTGCCAGACTTTCCAATGTCGCTTGTCATTCAAAAGTCAAATGCTTTTCTTGCCACAAACAATCAGTGATCAAAATATGTACAGTAAGACAGTAGCTCTACTTTAACTGGCAAGGCCCTCCCAGGCAGGCGTGGCTCAGCGAGCTCTCGGATCAGCAAGACAAGCTGGTCAGTAACTTGGTTTCAGACTGTATGTGAAAAGAGAGGTGAATATGAAAGAGTAACGGGAATCTGTGCCGCCTCCAACTGAAGTAGGCTTCTAGACAACAGCTAAACGAGACACCAGACCTGCCGAGGGGAACTCACTTTTCACAGTAACGCCCCATATATAATTAAGATTTAAGAGAGCCAGAAAAATTAAGAGTTACTACAATAATCAAATGTTTACAATGGAAAACAGTGAGGACGGTGAGGGAATATGATCTAGGAACTAAGAGTTCAATGCTACAAAAGTTGAGAATAATAAGTTTTTGTAATAATAAAGCTGAAAAATAAGAGTCTATTGAAAGGAAAATGGTCATTTAAATGACTTTGAACATTGGCTAAGGTTTATTAATCTGAATTCTAGAAGAGACCTAGTAGATTTGTGCCAATTTTTGATAATCAGGTAACTTAAACTTTCTACCATGAGATTTGGAAGTGCCTTCTTTCAGCCAAGGAAAATGTCTTTCACATGAAATTTGATTTTAAATCCATTTTTAAGCTATGTTAATGGAACTATCTACCGTGTCCCTAAGGGTGTCTTTCCTTCTCAGACGGTGCTCTCAATACTAATTAGCAACATTTCAGTTTCAGAGCCAAAGCATTTCTCCTTTTTTTTTTTTTTTTTTTTTGTTTCAATCTCCATTATTTTTGTTGTCCTCACAGGAGGACGGGAGATTGATACCAACTCCCACTCATGGAAATTCTCACTTGACTGAATTTCCAAACAGAAAGCTCCAGGAGTTGCCTAGGAAAAACATCACCTTCCTAGAACTTCACCCGAGGCTTTAATTCCGCAAGTGAACCGTCAGGCGTGGGCGCTCTGCGGTGCCAGAAGCCCCGTGCAGCAGGAGGGGGTTCGGCTGCCCGGGTCAGGCCAAGGAGCCCAGCCCAGCGCGGGGCAGGGACAGGGAGCTGCACGTGCCCGAATATTACAGCTCTTTAAAAACACTGAAAGCCTGCAGAGTGACGGGACTTGGAACATTAGTCCCGCCTACAACAGGATGGAAATCTAATCCTATTGACCACAACATGATAATGGTCTTTTTTTGTTTGTTTTTCAGAAATGCTCTGTTTATACCACCAGTACAGACAGCGGTGCAAGAATGAACGCACTACTGCAACATCCATCTGCAATGGCAATAATTTTGGATACATGAAGTTTAATTTAGAAAAATGATCTGAAATATTTCCCTCATTCCACCTCCCATCAGAGAAAAATACAAATATTTAAAAGAACTATAAATAGGGACTGAGATGCAATTACAGGAAGAAGGGCGATAAAACCAAGCCAGGCTTACATAAAGCCTAACTAAGTCTAAACAAGACTCCGATCCGGTGCACCTGCCTGCAGCGAGGTCATTCATACGGACCGAATCTGCACACACTGAACGTTCCTCGGATGACATCCTTCCTGCACATAATCTGACATGAGTCCGTGTCTTAAATCTGTGCAAAGAACACACATCCACAACCTGATTTTATCATTAAGGCTTCCAATATTAAAATTACCTGGCAGGTGATGTGAATAAAAGAGGGCTCCTGTGAAGATGGGTACGCTGGAAGATTTCTCTTCCCAGATTTTAGCAGCTCAGTTAATTCACAGAGATGATGCTGTAATTCTGTGAAGTTACCAGACAGTTTTTCCACGTTTTTTGAAAAGTAACTTGCCTCCTTTTCACTTAATAGGTTATTCTTGTAAGAATTTGGTATTTTGGAAGCTGCATCCGCCTGCCTTTTTGGAGATGTTGGCTTGTTAGGAAAGGCCAGCGACGCGGCAGACAGTGCCACAGTCCGATTAACTGGTTCGGCATCGAGAGGCTCAACAACTGGAGGAAAATGAATGGAAACCTTTTTATCTTTGAGGTCACTCATGTTCAACAAGCTTTGCTCATAAACAGGACTCTTAATTTCTTCAATGAGTTTCCTTCTGCTGGTAGGGGACTGCATGGCAGCACGATCCGGTATCAAGAGTCCACGGCTGAGAGGGTGAACGTCTGCAGCAAGATCATGAGGTACGTGTGAAAGGTTCAAATGGGAGCTCCCATTAACTGAGCCAGATGTTGAAGGACCCACTTCAAATACGAGTTCCTTAATCATCAACCGGATCATGTACTTGTCTGACCTTGAAGAGGGAAGAAATGCAGGGTCACTGAATTTTTGTCTTCCAACCAATATCAGTAACAATTTATTGGTCAAGAAGCACAAACCCTTTGGTTTCTCATTTTTCTCTAGCTGAATTTGTTGAATATTGGGTAAAGTGGATGAAGTCAGCGAATAGACTAAAATAACGTTACAAGTATTGGAGGCAACCGACACAGTTTGAGTTTTGGGGTCAAAAGCCATTATATCAGGGACCAGAATGCCCGGGATGCTAACTTTTTTGGTAGAGGTGACCTTTCTCTCAAAAGTCACCAAGATGAGATGCGAAGAATCTTGGCCACTTCCCGTTAGGTAGTCCTTGGGCCTCAGATGAAGAAGAGGACTGGAATCAGCACCTTGCTTGCTAGAAAGTATGTGAGTTAGATCCACGGGAGATGTCACAACAGACAAGGGCTTCTCACAGTCCAGCGACCTCTTCCCCCCATCCATGGAATACTCCTCCTCCCCGCACAAGCTGGACTGCGAGGGGAAGGACTCTGTTTCAACGCTCGAAGGAACTTCAAATGCAGCACCAGCATTTAAGCCACAGATCTTGTCTAGAGGAAGCTCGGTGGCAACAGCCACTTGGAAACTCAGCGTAGCTTCCACAGCGCAGATGTAGCCTCCCACATCAAAGACCGGGCAAAAAGAACAAGCATTCAGCGTTTTCTGAGCATCATCCCAAATGTAAGAATGAAGGGCACTGCCCACCCCCACCACTAAGCGACTGCCTTCCTTCGTCCAACAGGCGCAGTGGATGAGACCGCTGCCTTTAATATCGGCTTTAATCCTGGAGTTGTTGAGATGAACAGAGTGTAAGACCGAGGCATCCCGGGTGGTCAGCACGGCCAAGATCTCCTTCTTGGGGTGCCACACGCAGCCTTGGGGGAGCACGGGGAACGGCTCGCTGATGTCGCATATCTGAGAAACTAAGAGCTTATTTCTTTCCGTGACGTTAAAACAGAGCTGCCAAATGGTGATGTGCTTCTTGTGCTGAACAGCGAGCAGAGCCGGGGCATCAGGGGGGCACGGGCCCCAGTAGAGCCCGTGGACATGTTCGAACTGACCGACAACACTCGAGTCCCCAAATTTCGGTTCTCCGTTATGAAGGTGTAAAGCAGTCAGGATCACCTGCTTCCCATCCGTCCAGGCAATACCATGCACAGGGTGAATTGCTTGGTATAAGGCATTAAGGCCAGTTCTCAGAAGCTTTGCCTTTCCTAGCTCCATGATTTTTAATGTGAGACATCTAAACAAGTTAGAATGAAAAGAAAAAAAATTTACTGTAGAGGACAGAGAACAATACCTGTATGATTATTTTGCTTATGACCCTGCCAATGCCAGACTCTTCCTTCCAGCGAAGTCAATATACACAGAATATTCATCTATGCTTAATCCTCAACCCTAGACTTCTTTGTTTACAATGTTTCCACAGTGAAATGCAATTTTGAGAAAAAGAAACTTTGCTGTTCACCTAATCTTAGTCTGCTGCATTTTCATCACCACTTCATTCTAATCGACAGGCTGCTGCTTCTCAGAGTATTTTCAAATGACTTCAGTATTAAAGATTTCCAAAATATCGCCTCTCAATCAGCTTCATGGACCATTTGTGATCAGATAAAGTAATCCCTTACAAGTACAACCAAGCATTAGTGTATTAACTATAAATCGGATCCTGTATTAAGTGGGTGAGAACAAGACATTTGTATGGTTATTCCAGAAAGCTCTCTGAAAAACCAAATGCAATTTTGAAGAAAGTTAGGATCCAAGCAGATTCTTCTGAGGAAATGAAATAGAAAACAATGTAAAAGAACTTAGAACACAGACTCATCTACCTCAGGCATGAGCCACACTATGATAGCACAGGAACAACTCATAATCTTCAACATCCTGTAATGCAGTGGGGGTATTTTAATATTTTTTTTTCTTTTCCCAAGTGATTCAGCACCTTTTTGTCAAAGTTCACAAACCACCTTGTAGCTCACTGTTTGTTGGGTAGAAGGGATGAAAGCAGCAGGCAGCTGATCATGCCTGCAGACTGGTATTTCCACATACCAGTGGAATATCTACATATGAATATCCATACAAAAATATATGTACATTTGTAAATGCCCTGTTTATTTTTTAGTATCTGCAGTAATTCTGGGGACATTTTTATCACTGGGATATCGCTTTAGGAGTACCTATTTTCACAGTGTCCTGCAAAGTAGAAATTACTGGTTTATAGCTAGAAAAAGCCACAGAAAACCTTCATTCCACTATTTTTGAAAAAAACGGGTTGCACGATGTGCCTGACATCTCTAGAGAAACCTTTTCAGTTCCCTCTGCTCAGCCCAACAGCTTCAAGAGGGAGAATGGCAAACTGTCAGCAATCGTCATGCTCTGTAATCTGTAACCAGGTGTCTGGGACATCCAGAAGCCGTATGCAAGGCATGAAAACTTCACAAGGATTCAGGATTTCACACATATTTCTAGTTTTTAAGCTGTGAGCAATCCCTACTCTGTGCACAGAAGTAAATTCAAAGGAATCAGTGGTTTCCTCACTTAAGATTCTCTGTAGGATTTGGCTCAGCTGCAAAGCCATGGCACAGAATGAGTTGCAGCTTTAGTAGAAACATGAAAAAGAAGAAGAAAGTGTCTGAGAAACTCACGCTGCCAAACTGGAAAGGTTTATCACAATGTGCAGGGCCTGGCACTACTTAACTATTTGTGGATGAGCCCAAACTTGGAGGGAGGGATTGAAGAGCGGATTTTAGAGACCAAAATTAAATAGAAAAAGTTACGATGATCCAGGTTAACTTCTTCTCAAACTAATAACAAGTGCAAAATAATATACTTAGTAAAGAAAAAAAACCCCATGGATACCTCTTCAGGAATAATTCTGTGGGTAGCAGTATAGCAAAAAAGGATCTGGCTTACAGTAGATCACAATTTGATTATTTTAGCAATGTAAGAATGTTGCCAAATAAGCCGGCATCATTCTGGAATTTTTAGGGGAGATAATTACCCCGCTTCCTCAGAGCTAACAGTATCTCCACTGGAGTACAGCACCTAGTTCTGAGTTTAACAGCCCAAGGATGGTGGAAATACTTAACAGAGCTCAGGGACCAAAGAAACATGAGAAGTGGGTTCACTCAGTTTGGAGAAGATTGTGAGTGGAAACTTGCAAACACCCACCAGTCTGCTGGCAAGAGAACACTGACCCATTGTTCTCCAGGTCTACTCTGGATAGCACAAGATAATAATCAGCTTAGTTTCAACAACGGAGATTTAGGTCATCTATTAAGAAAAAATTCTAACTCTAAATGATAGCTAAGCATTGAAGCAGGTTACCTTGGAGAGAGGGAGAAGGCACTCCATGAATTCCATAATCTGTAAGAGCCAATTAAGTAAGTATCTGTCAGGGATAAGTTTAAGTACACTGGATCCTGCCTGACGGCAAGAGACCACTTGAGATACTTCCCAATCAACTTCTCCACTGTCTCCCTGGCTCTCCTTTAAGCTCCAGTATAACCGACATCGATTTACCGCCACTGACAGGAAAACCAAACCCTCAGCGGTGGGTTCCCCAGCACCCCGAGCCACACGCACGCCGCTGGGCAGCACTCACCCGTGGAAGGGAGCCGGTGAGGCGCCTCGGAAGGTACGCTGAGGTGCCAACCCTGCTGGGCCGCCTGGAGAGTTTCCTGCGATACAGGAGACGTTCTGCGTGATCCCCAGCGCCCCTGCGGAACCAGAAGCATCGAGGCACCCCCTGGCCACCCCGCTCCAG